TTTTAATTTCTTTCTAAAAAATTTTCTAAAATAAAATTAAAATTAAAAATTACTTGTTCCATTTAAATATATTACATCATAGTCATTTAACATTATTAGATGTTTTAGAGCAAATTTTTACACAATGCTACAGAATTTCATATTGACTATATCAGTGACAAGGACGGGCACATAGTAATGGAGAGAGCAGACCCGCGATTCTCTCCTCGGAAGTTGGTCGCGTCGTCGTCGGTGATCGTCGACTGACAACGAAGACATTGATTACCAGGCTTTTTATTAAAGTCGGTTAGCGGGCAGCAGTTAGACTACTAGTGACCCGCGGTTAACAGTCGCGGGCTACGTCCCAATACCGATCTTTTCAAGAACACATTGAGAACGCTCTCAAACGCTCAGTGCGACTTACCAAATGCAAACTGTCCGTCGGAAAGTCGAATGCTAGCAAATTGTAGTCCCGCGTGTCGTTGTACTACCACTCTTCATTTGATATGATAAATTAATTACATTTAACTCTTCCCTCACACCTACATTCACCACACCACTTACTGATCGACCTTACGTTTCCCTCATTTGTGACCAGAAACACAAAGGGAGTCCAAGGGCGAATTTTAATTTTTAATGTGGGAAGAGGTGGGGCGGCGCCCCTAGCGCCCCTATTGGCCGGCCGCCACTGGTAGCAACGCAGTGTAGGCGGGGCGATCGGCTTTTTTTTGGCCAATGAGATGTAGGAACGTCGTCACCTCCTCGGTAGACCATGCTTTTCTTTGACGTTGCCATTTTTGTAGCTCCTCCGTTTACAAAAATGCTGTTTATAAAAATGCTGCAAGCTTGCTTCTGGATATATATGCGACGCTAGGGATGATCTTGCGCGCGATCTTGTGACGATTCTCTCTGACCAATCAGCAGTCGAGAGTGTTGACGTCACTAGTTCAGCCCTGGCCCTGGCCTGATAGAACCACGATTTTATGGGGGCGGAAAAAGAAGGAAAAAGTACCCGCTAGCTGGTGCTACGCTATATGGAAAGGCCACCAAAAACTAGCCTGGCCGCTTGAGGACGATTAAGGACGCTTAAACGGGGCTACCCGCTGCAGTGGAAATGCGCCATAAGTGGGCCTGTCTGTCAATTAATCCCCGGGCCACTTTTTCCCCCCAGTCCGCCCCTGCATTCATGTCACATGCTGTACAAGTATTAAGAAGATAAGATAAGATGGACCTTTATTTATCCCTGTGGGGAAGGTAAACAAATAACAACAATTTAAATAACATTATATAGTAACTGTTAAAACAAGATATCACAACAAGGTAAACTTTTATCATAACATGCTGTATATATTTGGGTTCAGATTGTTCAATATATTTACATGTAAGTGTGCAGATTTGAGTGCAGGTCAAAGTCATTTGTACAAACAGTGCAGATTTGATGTATGTACAGTACGGGTTACTTTGAATGGGTTACATGTAGCCCTGTGCAGCCTGATGGCTACAGGCTCAAAGGACGGTCCAAGCAGTTTGTGCTGACCCGAGGATGGATGAGTCTGGGGCTGAACGGGCTCCTCATCTTTTAGCCTTAGGTATTGCAGCCATGGATCTATATCTTCATATATATATACACATAAAGACCATTGCAAAACATAAAGGAACACCTACCAACAGAGTGCAAGAAAATGATTAACATATCAGGATCCTTCCTGACGACGTTTACATCTGTGGTTTTTGCTCTTGCAGAAATGTATAAAAAGGATCTTTTATAGAAGGAATAAGAGGAACCAAAATGAATCTAGGTGAGGGAAACAACTTGTCCACATGTTACAAATGAATTTTGATCTCACGTCTCCTGCTGGTCCTCCCTGCAGGTATGTCAGCGGGATGATCCCCGTCCCAACTCACTACTTCGTGGTGCTGAGCAGCTGCCTGGACTTCACCCAGCCAGCAGACGCCTGCAGCGGGCCGCTCAGCAGTGCCACCTTCATCCTGCCCCACAGAGCCAGCAACGAGGAGACCTGCACTGTGAGGAGCATCACACAGACATACACACACATTCAGAGAGCAGGTCCACACAGTGTGTATGGCCTCTTAGATCATTCAGAAGTGACAGTATTCTCCCTGACAGAACATAGAATCTGTGGATCTAAATAATAATAATAATACATTTAGTTTATAAAGTGCTTTTCAGAATACAAAAAGACGCTCTATGAAAAAGTCTCACCTAAAAAAGAGAGTCGCACATACTTCAATTTAAAATTCAGATCGGTGGAGTTATGAAGGGGGGGGGGGGGGTATTGGCAGGAAGATCATACGAGCGGAAGACATTTTGTAGTAACAAATCGCAAATCTTTAAATCCATGAAATGTACACATTGTAAAGCTGTGCGTGGTTATGGAACTGAAATGTTAAAGGACAAGTGCTACATCTTTACATCACATGTCATTTAAGTTGATGCTTTTATCCAAAGCGACTTACACACAATTCAATACCATAGATACATACAACATTTCAAGTTACGTATCTTGCCAATTCGACATTTTGACTGATCAAACCACTGAGCATCTGATTGGCAGACACTGGTCTACCCCTCTGAGCCACAGCTGCCCCTACATCTTGAAACATGTGTTTCTAAGCTTTCTTTTCAGAGTAGGGTGAGAAAGTTAATATTCATCCCAATCTTGATCATCTTTGGGGGTGTGTTCAACTATTTCTCAACAAACCACAGTCAATCACCTGCAGAGCACTTTCCATTCACTCAGCACAGGTTGTAGTTCATGTTTCTGCACAGGCTCAATGAAACCAAACCTTTTATGAACAGTATGTCATTCCAGCTGATACTAAACACTATTATTTGTACATGTCTGTCAGTGTGCAGGTCAAACAAACAGGAAACAACATGTTCATTAGTGTGCTGTTGGCAGCTGTCTTTTATCCATAATGGTCAGGAAAGCTGTTTCTCCATGGTTCCAGTGTTCAAACTGAGCCTGTCCTGACTCCAGCTCTGTTCCTAACACACCCACATTTAATGTTCTAATCTCAATCTGAAAATATACTGTAAACTATTTTCCTTTAGAGCAATGGTAAGGGGGTAAACCTCATGCTAATGACTGTGTGTTCCTCCCTGTCTCCCCAGAGCTCAGAGGAGGAGTCCCGGTGGGTGGAGGATCTGATGAAGATGCACACGGCGCGGGTCAGAGATGTGGAGATCCTGACGGGCCTCGACCTGTACCGCAGAACCACCCGCAGCTACGCCGAAATCCTGTCACTCAAGACCTACATGCACACCTACGAGAGCGAGATCTGAAATGTGCTGCTCCGCTCACTGTGCTGTTGGTGAGGTTTCTAACCGTGGTCGATGCTTGTGGTACCAGGAAGAGGTGTGATCATCTCTATAACACTGACCTACACAGCTGGAGCTTTCACTGTACAGCAGATCCATGTGTGGCCATAACGAGCTCATCTTCTAGCATGCAATGCATAATAGCAGTACACATGGGCTTTCCCCTTAAGTCATTTACTGACGATTTGAGTTATTTTTGTATAAACATTTAAAACAATTTTTTAAAAACATTATTCCCTATTTGTAAAAGTGATTATTTTAAAGTAGTAAAAGATCTTGAATTGCACTACAAAGCCATCATCACAAAGTCTCCCCTCAGTGTTCAGGATGTGACAGCTCCACTCTGATTCACAGCGTTCACTCATCACTCTCTGCAGTGAACACATTCGTTTGAATGAAATGAAATGAAAATGAAATGTTGTTGTTTGTGTGTGTACAGTGTGTATATGTTGAGGTCGAAATGTATTCTGTTTGTGTCAGACTGTGTGTGTGTGTGTGTGTGTGTGTGTGTGTGTGTGTGTGTGTGTGTGTGTGTGTGTGTGTGTGTGTGTTGACTTTTTGTTCCGTGCACAATAACAATAATGTCAATGCTGGTGATTTATTAATGTGTGTCCTAAAACATTTACCACCTGTGAGACCTATTTATGCTTTATGTGTATTTAATCACAATAAACAACGTTTTTACTAAAATCTGCAGTCTGTTTGTCTCACATCATCAGTCCATCTACATACAGTATTATTCCACATGACTCTGCCAACCTCCATCCATCACTGCCACCAGGGGGACACTAGTGGTGGTGCAACAAGGTTAACCTCAAACCTGAGGGCCATATGAGCCTGGTTTTTAAAAGTAACCCAATCTCAGTTATCACATCTTAAAAGTAACCTGATTACTTTGTTACTTTTGAATTACTTCAATATATAAAAATCCAAATAAAGTTGTGAGGAAAGAAACAATCAGGTGTAAGATGGTTTTAACTTAACCGTTAAATGGGCAAGCACATTTCAATATTTAGTCAAATTATTTGATTGCTATTTTATACTTAACATCCATATTACACTGTTTTTACACCCATATAACACATTAATACACCCATTTAAGCCCATAATTGTACTCCATTATTGCACCCGTGTTACACTACTATTAAACCTTTGTTACCCCAATAATCACACTTATATAATACAACGTTATAACACCGGTATATCACTCTTTTTACACAATATTACACCCATATTGCACATTGACACAGCCTGTCAATTGACTGTATCCCTGTGATACAGAAACCATTTAAGGGTTGGTTGTATTCTGTAACAACAGAAACATTTTATGAGTTTATGAGAATTACAAGTACAACTCAACACAATGAAACATTTGTTTCCTTTCTCAAATTTCCCATTTTCAGAAAATCCCACACTCACTTTAATCTTATTTATGATTGTCCTGGGTTAGATTTAGCTTATGATATTGTTTTACTCCTGTTTTAATAGTGCCATTATTATTTATTTGTATATCTGTTTCACATGACAAAATACAACTGTGCTGGTTAGTGGTTTTACACATTTTAAATAACAATAAAAACAAGCCTTCAAAATGTATTTTTTTAAATCAGCTGTCTTGTTTGGATTGTGAATGAGAATTTTTTTGAACAATGACAAACCGTACTTGGAAGTTCTAATTGTGGTTAGGTTGTGAGTGAATTGAGGATCATTTGCTCCAACTGGAGTATTTTCACTCATAAATGTCGTCCTTGACGCCACGCAGAGGGGATTTCCAGGTCCATAAGAATGACATTCTGTCTGGTGAGTCCTGCAAATACCTGGTGCGGGAGCTGAAGGGACAGGGGACCTTTGGGAAAGTGGCTTCCTGTGTCAGATTAGACACAAAGGAGTGTGTTGCAGTGAAGATTATTAAGAGGCATCTAACCTGGGCTGGTAAAAAAGAGGCAGCTGCTTTTCAACACATCTCTCTTCTTGTGCTGAAGGAGAGCAATCTGGTGAGGTTTTATGAATCCTTCATGCACAAGGGCCACATGTGTCTAGTTCTGGAAATGTTGGACCAAACTCTGGAGGACTTGATGAGAGGAAGGCGCCAGAGCCCGCTGTCTGAGATCAGAGTCGTCTCCCAACAGATGCTGGGGGCTCTGAAGGCTCTGAAGAGCATCGGCCTGGTGCATGCAGACATCAAACCAGACAATGTGATGCTGGTAAACCGTATGCAGCAGCCCTTTACAGTCAAACTGATAGACTTTGGTTGTGCCACACCAGTTTCCAGAATAAAGCGTGGCACAATCCATCAGACCCTTGGGTACAGGGCCCCTGAGGTCATCCTGGGCCTCCCTATCGATGAGGCTGCAGACATGTGGTCTCTCGGCTGTGTGCTGGCCTACATGTACCTGAGTCGGCACCTCTATCCTATCAGGTGTGAATATGAGGTCATGAGAATCCTGGTGCAGATGCAGGGTCAGCCCGATGACCGCCTGCTGGATGCTGGGATCCACACACAGACTTTTTTCAGCAAGAACAAAGACACAAATCAGGAATGGAGGCTGAACACTTGGGCTGAATACATGCAGGTAGCAGGCCTGACCAGCCAACCAGGCCAAAGCATTTCCAACCAGTTCTCTTGTATAGACGACCTGACAAAGGAGCGCCCAGAGCCAGAGACCGTCAGAGAGCATGAGGACACACGGGCGTTTGTCAGCCTCCTCAGGCGGATGCTGCGTGTGGTTTCTGTCAACAGAGTGACCCCCGCCGAGGCTCTGCAGGACAGGTTCATCACGGTGAGGCAGGGCAAGGCAAGTTTATTAATTTAGCATTCAACAGTACAAATATATATGTACTGTTGTCATATATTCATTCATTGTCATATACTCATCCGTTGTAATCTACCACACTGCTGAGATATTTATCAATGTGCCTTTTGATTAATGTTTTTCAATTTTTCTATTGTGTATGTATGTATATATACATATATGTATTTATCCTTAAATATATTTTAATTTTGTGGTTTTGGAGAAACTGAATTTCGATCTCATAGTTTGTATCATATTGATTATAAAGTTGACTTTCAAGACATGGCAATTCAAAGCGCTTTACAAAAATGAAAACAATTAAGAGCTTTAAGAAACAGTGGAGCAAAACACATTATAAAATGGCATTTAAAAACAGTCATAGAAAAGCATATAAAATTAAATAAACATAAAACAAGCTAATATATAAAATACAAGAATAAAAGTTACAGTGAGATGTGAATAGTTCCGTTTAAAGCAGCGGCAAAAAGAAAAGTCTTCAGCCTGGATTTAAAAGTAGTAAGAGTTGTCGCGGACCTGCAGGTTTCTGGGAGTTTGTTCCAGATATTTGGAGCATAATAACTGAACGCTGCTTTACCATGTTTAGTTCTGACTCTGGGGACAGAAAGCTGACCAGTCCCTGAAGACCTGAGAGATCTGGATGGTTCATAATTTAGCAGGAGGTCAGAAATGTATTTTGGGCCTAAACCATTCAATGCTTTATAAACAGCAGCAGTATTTTTGAAATCTATTCTTTGACACACAGGAAGCCAGTGTAAAGACTTCAGAACTGGAGTGATGTGATCCTCTTTCTTAGTGTTAGTGAGGACTCGAGCAGCGGTGTTCTGAATCAGCTGCAGCTTTCTAATAGATTTTTTAGTGAGACCTGTAAAGACACCATTGCAGTAGTCCAGTCTACTGAAGATATATGCTTTTTAAAAAGTATTTTAACCGTATATATATATATTCTTAAGGTGATAGGCTGACTTAGTATTTGTCCTAATCCAGTCCCGAGGCACCTTCCCAGAGACATGGATCCAGACCCCATGTGACATCATCATGTGTTTGCCCCACACAGGACTCAGCAGGTGAAACCAGCTGCTCTGCAACCTACAGCCAGAGGTGGGAAGTAACTATGTACATTTACTCAAGTAATGTATTTAAGTACAAATTTGAGATACTTGTACTTTACTTGAGTATTTCCATTGTATGCTACTTTGTACTTCTACCCCACTACAGTTCAAAGGTAAATGGTGTACTTCTACTCCACTACATGTACTTCTACTCCACAATCTGCACAATGACTACTTTTACTGTCGCTACTTTAACTATATTTGGATGATAATACTTTTTTACTTTTACTCGAGGAACATTTTGAATGCAGGTAGGACTTTTACTTATAACAGAGTATTACTACACTCTGGTACTTCTACTTCTACTTTAGTACAAGATCTGAGTACTTCTTCCACCTCTGCCTACAGCAAAGCTCCACACTGTGAACCAACCTCACCTGAAGACCCCTCCTCTGGCAACAACAAAGGGTCACCAAGTGACGCAGCTCCCCCCACCGTTGGCCCTACTGATCAACATGAGGTCCTCTCCAGAAGTGATGACCGCAGCACGGGCTTCATCTCGGTCCAAAGTCAGAGGAACAGGGAGAGGGGATTCTGCTCCGTGTGTTGCTGCTGTATACAGTAGATGTGGTAGAATAAAAACATGTAATCTTACAGCAAGGACGTCCTTACTCCTCCTCACACACATCCTCAACAGCTAACTAAATACACAAAACGATATATTAAAGGCATTTTTAAAAGTCCTACATTTTATGTTGTTTTGTAACCACTTGACTAAACAAATTGCTTCTGTCCATCTGTTGGTGACTTTTATACATAATATAAATATCAGACTGCGGTTGCATGCAATTTTATTTTATATATCGTTCGATTTGGGAGGAAATTTGAGTAAATTCACCAAGAGTGAATCACAAAAAAAAGAATAAAACAAATGGACATCGTGGTCACTATATGTAGTATTGCAGTATAGTATCCTAAAGATTACAACTAGATATGTTCTAACTGCAGGGTTTGAATGATTGTAGATATATGTATTTATGGCACAGCTGCACACATACAGTAATCAACATACTCTGAACAGGATATAATGAGAAGGATTTGAATATAGTAACAAAAGATTACAGGTATTGCGAGGTACGTTGATTATACAACTTTATCCATGCACCATGAGGGCACACTATCAGCTGAAATAACGAAGTTGCTTCAAAAGTCTTTTGTTTTTCTTGATCAAACCGACAGTAACCTAGAGAGATGAGAGGAAATGAGAGAGTGAGGGTCCCACAACTCATCATGGTCAGGCCTTCAAAACAGGGCTACAAGATATTTCAGAACAACATATAATAAAACAAGAATAAAGGACATTGGAGAAGCACTGTAAGGGGAGATGAGAACAAAGAGGCTAAAGGTTAAATATACCTTGATGGTCTGTGAATATAATATGAAGGGAAAAGAAAAGTTTGGGGCTCTCTGCTGGAACTGCTACCTCCGCGACCCGACCACGGATAAGCGGGAGAAGATGGATGGATGGATGGTCTGTGAATAGTAACTTATTTTGCAGAGGTGGAAAGAAACTAAGTACATTCACTAAGTACTGTACAGTTTCCAGCTGTTTGTACTTTAATTCAGTATTTCCTATTTATTTTATACTTTTAACTCCATTACATTACATTAGACCAAATGTGTTATTATTTGTCATACTAGATACAAATAAACTAATTAATTATTATGTATTTTCATGGATTTAACTACCCAGCAGTTCAAAAAGTAGTTGACATTATTTCCAGTTGCAACATAGGCACATTATCATATGACAATCCAGATAATTATATACAGCATATTCTAAAATAAGTAATTTTGCATAACAAGTGCTTTTGCTTCTGGTTTGGTATTTATTATAGTTAAATATTTTACTTTGGTAGAATTAAGAATGCAGAACGTTTCACGTTCTACACCATGCCATCAGTAAAAGATGTGAGGTAGCCTACTTCTTCCATCAGTGATATATTGCATAATCTTATTGTCAGTGGTTTAAAGTAACTAAGTACTCAATTACCGTACTAAAGCACAATTTTAAGGTACTTGTACTTTACTTGAATATTTCGATTTTATGCTACTCTGTACTTCTACCCCACTACAATTCAGAGGTAAATGGTGTACTTTTACTCCCCTACATGTATTTAATACCTTTAATTACTTTACAGATCTGGATGAATGATGTGAAATATAATCAAGTGTTAAATCAGACTTTAGTTCCACCTGGAGTAAATTCACAAGCTACCCTGCAGTATACAAAGTCATTCAAACTAGCTGCACCTTTACCAGCTTTGATAACACTTTAATGATCAATCATTATAAAACATATCATATATATTATTCTGAAACGGACCAAACTGCAAAATGACTAGTTTTGGAAAGCCTACTTTAAGTATATTTAGATGCTAATACTTTTGTACTTCTACTTGAGTAACCTTTTGAATGCAGGACTTTTACTGTACAGAGTATCCCTACACTCTGGTGCGTCTACTTTTACTCAAGCACACGATCTGAGTACTTCTCCTCCTACCGCTTAAATCTTTTACTTTGGTAGAACTTTGAAAGCACAACTTTTTAATTGTAACAGTGTCCTTCTACACCATAGCATTACTATTTCTAATGTAGTTAAATATTTGGGTTGGCCTACTTCTTCCATCAGGGACATTTTTGCATGATCTTAGTGTAAAATTGAGAAAAAATACCTGATATGATTTTAAATACCACATTTCCGTGGGTGCATGAACGCGGCACTAACACTTTGTTGTGACAGTAAGTGAAGGAATGACGCGTTCAAACGGCATACTTTCACTTCCTCCAACACAAAGCTGTCTCTGTCAGAAACAACAGATGTAATGTGTCTCAAAGTGACATATCAGGGCACTTGTGACATTAAAAAGAGTTAATTCCTCTCAACAATTCTTTGTCACTTTACAGTTGAGTGTTTACAGCGCTTTGGTGTGGACGCAACACAGTGGTAGGAGGAATGTTTCAGTACGTAGCGCAAGGACAGTGAGCTTTGAAGATGTCATACTAAACAAACACAGCTAATGTAGTATGGTGCTAATGATGTAACCAGAAGCCGTTATTTTTTACATTTATTACCTTGAATGTACCTGTAATTTGTTTTTTTAACACACTGTCAGTGCTAAACAAACAGAGAGGAAAGTGTTGACAGTGAGGAACAGAGGAGTGTCACACTGAAGCTAACCTCTTCATTGAGGAAGGGATTAAAGGATTTAGGAAACACAAAAGAGCCAACAGATACCGGTCATACCTTGTAAAAATGTATTCAGTTCAACATATTTAGCATTCATTTGTAAAAATGACTAGCCAGTCAACAACTATGGAGCAGCTGTCAGTTTTATATTGGTACAACTGCTAATGCTAGTAACGCTGGTTAAAGAAGTACTGAGATTTTTCACTTAGTAAAAGTAGCAATTCTTCATTTTAAAAGTACTTTGTTACAAGTAAAAGTCCTGTATTCCAAATCCTACTTAAGTAAAAGCACAAAAGTATGAGCATCAAAGTACCAAAAGTAAAAGTACTTACTATGCTGAATGACCTATTATTTCATGTGTTTACCACCTGTGCTACTTGTAGAGCTAATTAGAATACCTTTATATACTGCTGCTGGATATCTTTACCTCTAAATGTATGTCAAAGTTGATTTATTATGTATGTGTTGTATTATTATTTATGTGTATATTTATACTCAGATGATTGGTCGTGCTTTTTACAGCGCTTTTTACGGCTTCCACAGATGAAATATTTGTATGTATTTATTGTCAAAGCATTTAATATATTCATTGCAAACGGGATGTTGAGAGCATTCCATGGAATATAACAAAAAGTGTTTCTGAAGTGAATTACCTACCCTACCTTTAAAGTACCATACTTGAGTAAATGTACTTTGTTACTATCCACCACTAACAGTCAGTCGGGCCATCAACCAGTAGCAGCTGAATGTTATCTGGACCAAACACAGAGTGACAGGCTGCTGAGTGTATTACTGGCTATCTCTAATACATTTATCTGACAGATTTACATACCTTTCAGATTCAGGTTTAAATATCCAGCAGTAAATATATATATATATATATAAATATGAATAAATTAGCTCAACATTTACCAACTGTGATGAATATAAAGTAATGCATGATTTGTATGTACAATGCATTACTTCATATGATGAAATGGGCCATTACACACAACAAGTACTTAAACTTTTGGCACAGCGTATTTAGATGCCAATACTTTTATATGTTTACTTTCACACAGTATTTAGTACTGATATATTTACTTAAGTAAAATATCTACTAGATATCACCAGTGATGTCCCAATGCAAATTGTTGATGTCTAAAATGGTATTATATAGATTTAGGAACTGATGTTTAAATGGCTTTCACCTGTTTCCCCACACAGGTGGCTGAGCTGCAGTAACCATGGGTCAGAGAGAAGAGGTGAGGCCGTCCTGCCTCTCCCTCCTCACCTACCACAGAGAGCTGCTGGTGTCCCGGCTCCGGAGCGTCGCCTGCATCCTGGACAACCTGCTGGCCTCTGGCTTCGTCTGTGAGGAGGATGTGGAGATCGTTCAGCGAACTGCCACCAAGATGGACAAGGCAGGAGAATCAAAGACATCTGTTGCATACATAGGGTGTTTTCTGTTTTAAGGCTAACTTCTTTAAAAAAAACTGAAATTCTCACCACGACTGACATTCTTTTTATTCATTATTTTTCAGGTGCGTAAAATCTTGGAGCTAGTCCAATGCAAAGGTGAGGAGGCCTGTGAGTACTTCATTTACATCATTTACAAGGTATGTGATGCATACGTAGACCTCCAGCCATGGCTGAAAGACATCAACTTCAACCCAAGCAGTGAAGTAGCGCTGTTGGACGTGGTGAACACAGATCCCAGTAAGTGTTTCAATCACTCACACTGTTCCTTTTGCATTGCTTTTCTACCCACCCCATGTATATGAATGAGTGTTGAATATGTATACAATATGTTGTAAAACAACAAATTTAAAAATAAATCCTACATTCAATATACAATATCTCCTCTGTACATTACACGCTCTTAGTCCATGCAGATATATCAAACTGTAACTTACCACAAATAACTATTAAAGTTAAGAGGGATATGCATGCATGCTTTCTTTAAAGTGTGCGTGTGTTTGTATGGTGCGTCTGAGCTGAAATGTATTCAATGTTATGTTATGTACTTCATATATTTTATTGTGGATGAACTTGAGTACGAGTAATCCAAAAAATACAGTTTATTGAAAAAAATAACCTTTAGCCTTTACTGATTTAAACATTTTAAAAGATAGGGACATTACACAAAAACATATTTTTAAGAATGGATCAAATGTCCTAAATAGAACCTTATAATAAAGCTTACTATTGCTTTCTGTTTCCCCCACGCAACATCAGTGCCAAACGTCTGAAAGCAAACAAATACGAATGGAAAGTGAAAACAAATCTGAAACCTGAAAAATCTAGATTTGAGACTGAAAACGTAAAATCTGCCATTGAAAAAAAAGGATTCATATATCAAAATATGTATAAAAGTGAAATATGACAAAACTGAATCAAAATAATATTCAACCCAAAATAAGATTTGAAACGTATTTTTCGGTTGAATACATCATTGTGTTTTTCAAAGTTCAGGATAAAAACTTGAACTTTCAAATAAAATGTATTTCTTTGAATGATCAAAACTTTTTTTGATTTAGCTCCATATGCTCCCCCCCAGTCAGCAGGTTCAGTGAGAAGCTGAGGCGGGGCATGAGCCAGGACACCAGCTTCATCATGTCGTACGGCCAGCGAGAGGAGACCCGTCTGGAGGAGCTGTACACCGACACGCTGATGGAGCTGCTGAACGACTGCAACGAGAGTCTGGGCTTCCTGGAGAGCCTGCACACGCTGCTGGGAGACCATGCAGACTTCAACCCCCAGGGGGAGACCATCTCTGTGATGGGGGATGCCGGGGTGGGGAAATCCATCCTGCTGCAGAAGCTCCAGAATCTCTGGTCCAACAAAGAGCTACAGACGGACGCCATCTTCTTCTTTAAGTTCCGCTGCAGGACGTTCAGCCTCTTCAAGGACTCGGAGCAGATGTCCCTCAGAGAGCTTCTGTTCAAACACAACTGCTGCCCCGACCACGACCCGGACGACGAGGTGTTTGAGTTCATCCTGCGCTTCCCTGAGAAGGTTCTCTTTACGTTTGACGGCTACGATGAGATTCAGATGAATGACCTGATGAATGTTGCTGAGGTGGGCTCAACAGATGTAAAGGCCCACCCCCTCCAGCTACTCATCAGCCTGCTCTGTGGGAAACTGCTCAAGGGTTCCCAGAAGGTTCTGACGGCCCGCACAGGCACCGAGATCCAGAGCAGGGTGATCAGGAAGAAGGTGGCTCTGCGCGGCTTCTCCCCGGATCACCTGAACACCTACATCCACCTGCACTTCAAGAAGCAGGAGCACCGAGAGCTGGTGTCCGTGCAGCTGGATGCCAGCCCCCACCTCTGTGGCCTCTGCTCCACCCCGCTATTCTGCTGGATCGTATTCAAGAGCTTCAGGCACCTGCACACCATGCATGATAGTTTCCACCTGCCTGACACCTGCATCACGCTCACAGACATCTTCCTCCTGCTGTCCGAGGTGTTCCTCAGCCGCTCAGCCGCTCCTGCTCCGTCTCTGCTGAAGAAGAGCACTCGGTGTGCTTCCGAGACGTTCAGAGCCGGGCTCAGGTCCCTCACAGCGTTTGCCAAACTGGCTCTTCAGGGTATGGAGAGAGGAAGCTTCATCTGGAGCCAGGAGCAGATGAGTGAGTGTGGGCTGACGGAGGAGGACCTGTCGCTGGGCTTCCTGCGGCCTGTCGGTGAGTTCGACGCCAGCGGGGGCGCCGCTACATTTGAATTCCTCCACGTCACCCTGCAGTCTTTCCTGGCAGCGTTTGCTCTGGTGTTGGATGAGCAGGCTCCTGCCGGCTCCATCCTCAAGTTCTTCACAGAGTGCAGCAGGAAGAGGAATACATTTTGTGTTCCTTTTCAAGTCTGTATCAGTGGCTCCTCAAAGTCCAGGGAAAAGAATCCATTTGCGACAAATGAACACCTTCAGTTCACTAACCTGTTCCTGTGCGGCCTGCTGTCCAAGGCTCACATCGGCCTGATGGAGCATCTGGTTTCTCCTATGTTATTAAAGAAAAAACGGGCCTTGCTCAAATCCTACCTTTCTACCAGTGTGAAGTCCCACCTCCATGGATTACCCCACTATGATGGTGAGGAGGGCAAGAAGGTCCATGTGCTGCCCAACTTCCTGTGGATGCTGCGCTGCATTTTTGAGACGGGGAGCAGAGACATCGCCCAGACGACGGCCAGAGGCATCAAGGCGGACTTCATCAAGCTGGGCTACTGTAACGTGTTCTCCGGGGACTGCACCGCTATCAACTTCGTGCTGCAGCACCGTCACAAGGTCCTGGGCCTCGACATGGACAACAACAACATCAGTGACTATGGGGTGAAGCAGCTGAAGCCCTCCTTCAGTAAGATGACAGTAGTGAGGTAAAAAACAGTGTCTTAACCCGTTCTCAATCGCAGGATATTCCAACATATATTCCTCTAAACAAAAGCTAACTGGATCTTTCTCCGCAGACTGTGTGTGAATCAGCTGTCTGACAGCAGCATCGAGGTTCTTGCAGAGGAGCTGTGTAAGCACAAAGTCGTGGAAATCTTGGGGTGAGTACCCTTGTCAAATATTCAATTTTATCTGAAAATAAACACTGTGTTATACAGTAAACGTATATAATCTAAAGATACATGTCTACCAGTGGTGGGAGAAGTATTCAAATTCTTTACTCAAGTCAGCGTACTAATACAATAAGAATATGTATTCATATTTATGCTTTCAAAATTAACTACATACCAGAGCCGCACATTTAATACACTTTTTACTGAAATAGCAATCTGGAATAGGCCAACATCCAAATCACAGTGGGCACAATATTTGGTAAAGGCAAAATATGTGAGAATATCATTGTAAATAAAGTTTTGTAGTGCTGCAGGGAATGCTGGTCTACAAACAGCATTGTACAGACTTAATAAAACATCCTTGTATGGAAGAGTGGGGTAAGCTGAGCCAATATTTACTTATGTTGTCCTCTAAGCAAGGATACATGAGATACAAGTCAAATGACAACAACAACAACAACAACAACAACCACCTTTATTTCAGGATGTCATCTGTCAATCAAAATGAAAATAATGCATCTATCACAAAGGGCCATGAAAGCATGACTACTAAAAAAAAAAGTGGTCTCTTGGTTTAACTTGCCCAATCTAAGGGGTAAGGTGATCCGCATCAAGGGCTAAATTGACCATTTGATTTGTCAAGTTTAAACCTGAGTTGTTTGGCACAGGAATGTTGTTGCTGTGTGCTAATGCAAAGGCCAGTTCACATCAATTATTTTGAGTAACTTGGAAACAGAAATGCTCAAGTAAAGTTAAACAAATGTACATTCATATAGTACTTTGGTGACAGAAATCTAGGTTTCTCACTTCACTTCATGGATTTTTAGATGAAATGTACTTTTTTCTGAGCGCTTGAAGAAGACTTTGTCCATGTTGACATATGATGATGTATTGAAAGCTCATTCTTGACTTCATACATTGTAACCAGAGGAGGAACATTGTTTCCCTGAAGGGACAGTGTGCTGGATTTGAGTGCTGTGGATCAACTTGTCTTTGAGAAATACAGTGGCCTTAGGGTTTTGTAATATTGTGAAAGTTCCTCTCTGGAGCTAGTATGTTCATTCTGTAGAAACATGGTCGTGCTCCATATGTAGATCTATGCTTACACTTCTTAGTTTAATGTGATTTTACATAGTTAATATATATATGTAATATTATATTCCATTTCTGCCAATCCCCTAAATACAACACCTTTGAATTTTACATTTTCTGTCAGTCATAATTCGAAACACCATTCAAGTTCTAGTCGACGGGAACAGTTAAAGGGGACCTATCATGCAAAATACACTTTTGTACCTCTTTTATACATGAATATGTGTCCCCGGTGTGTCAGGGAACTCACCAAGTGTCAGAAAACACAACCCTCTCTCTTTTCCTCCATACCCAAATCTCTAAAAACGGGGCTGCAACAGATCTGATACAGACTGATACAGATTTGAAAATTCTCTGATGTCAGAAACGAGGAGCTCCGCCTATATGGGCAACTCTCCACCTATCAGGAGGAGACAGCCACGGCCATTGCCGTTCGAAAGCACTGGAGACGCTGTAGTACATATGCCAGGCCTGTAGGTGGCGCTGTAGTCTGCAACAAAAGCTATATGTAGGTACACACCTGTATTTTTGACTATACAAAAAGTAGAGGTACAAAACCTGGTAGCCAATATGTATGCCTCAATAAGTGTTAGCACTCCATAAAGTATAATTCCCCTTGTTTCAGAGTAACTGAATCTATTTCTGTCCTCAGCCTTTACAACAATCACATCACAGATGTTGGAGCTAAGCTGGTGGCTCAGATCATCCAGGAATGCCCAAAGCTGCGAGTCGTCAAGTATGCTCTAACTGTTACCAGTATGATAATATTATAACTATTATATCAATAACACTGATATAAGTAATGACATCTGTTGTGATCTTGGTATTTGTTAGTACCACTCAATTAATATACCTGTTTTGGCGAATAATTTCTTATGTCCCTAAACCTGATGATTACATCACTTTGTCCTTAGGGTTGGCAAAAACAGGATCACTGGTGTCGGGGGGAGATATCTGGCCAGCGCAATCCAGAGGAGCTCTTCTATATTCGATGTGGGGTGAGACCTCACTGCTGTCAATCATCTCTCTGCTGTATTCGTGTCCCGCTGTGCTCATCAAAGCAGAGGGGTGCAAACATGTTTCAGAAGAGGACTTAATCGTTTTTTTGAGTGGGAAAAAACACATGTTACTTGATTTACTCAATAATAACCTTCTTAGTATTTACCTATTTTCTTTTGAATATGATCCCCAATTTAGAAAACCATTAGAATACATCCATCACCATTTAATTATTTCCCAAGTTGGGGTCATTAGTATCCTAATGGTTTTCTAAATTGGGGATCATATTCAAAAGAAAATAGGTAAATANTGGCAGAGACAGTGGGTGAAACTGGTAGGTTTTCGCCTGTTTGTTGAGTTTATATATATATATTGCTCGCATAAAATCCACGGGGTTTTTTGCTTTGTATGTCGGGGGCGGGAGATTCATGTGATTGGTTGTTGGTCGCGTTGCTCGCAAAAAATCCCCAAGCTCTCAGACACGCCCACCTCCAAGATTTTTTTAACGCTGCTGTGTAGACGGGCCGTAACAAGATGATTCAGCCTCTATGGATTTAGACGTATGACAAGCATGATCATCTCAGACGTGGGTCTTAGCTAATCTAAACTAAACATTGTATACTGCTTTGAACCCGTATTCCTCCATCTTGTGACTGTGTAACACCCTCTCTTGTATATAAGCATGTGAAGGACACTGTTCAGGAACTAGTTGTACCAAATGCTCTGTATGTGATCACTACTTCCATTCTTACAAGGATAATAAATACATGTATCCTGTTATTGAAGCTCAAGCCGGTGGCGAGTAATATTTTTCTAACACACGTGTAGAAGCAGAGAGCAGTGAAGCAGGAGTACCTTGCAGGGTGAGTTGTTTGGACAGCTTGGAGGTGATGTCCATGCCGTTCTTCAGCCAGGCCAGCTGCGGGCTGGGGATGCCCTCAGCGTGGCACCGCAGAGAGGCCGTGACGCCCGGCTCCCTGGCCTGGCTCTCTGGGTACACCCGGATGACGGGGGGAACTGAATTATGGTAAAAAAAAAAAAAGAGAGAGAAGGAAACAGAGAGAAATGAATAAATGCAATACAATGGTTTGTTTAGTATCACTTGAGGAGGGAGGTAACCTTATTGAATGAGAAGTTGCCAAGCTTTAACTTATGGGTCGGCCTTAGCAGACACTATCAATAAGGACGAGTGTTATTTTCGGCAATGCCTTAAGAAAAGGTTAACGTGCTCCGTGAAGCCAAACTAATCAGATAGATAAATAAGGGAGAGAGCCTCTGTGCGGAAGTTATTGATTTCACTTGGTAGACATTGATTTTAGGTAACCTTTTTTGTCAGGCAGGGAATGAGGGGATAGAAGTGGAGAAAAATAAATGTGTGATGAACAAAAAAAGCAAAAACGAAACGTCGCTCACTGCTGCAAACTGTGCCAAAAGCTGACTGCACACATTCCTGCACATTTTACCCTTCCCTGAAGCAAAAACAAACACACATTAAGAAATATCCTACATACTGTATTTCCAAGAACCAAAAATCAACATGAATCAAAAAAACACACAAAAACATTAATAATGCATTTATGCAATGACTGAGGATATGCCACAAGTGTTGCTTTATACCCGGTGGCTAAATAGTGAGAGTCTTGCTCCACAAAACATGGAAGATATCAAAAGAATGAATTTGAATAATCCTTTAAAGGAAGCAGCCTTCTCTGGGTAGCATAACAATGATAAAACCTTTCAAGAAAAGGATAGCAGTATCTCTGAGGACACTCTCCCAAAGAAATGGTGACAGAAACTTGGACTGTGACAATTAAATGTTTACAGAGCGACCATAGAAAGAATCTTCCTGTCACATATAAGATGTCATCCTGGCAGGGGTTTAAGAAGGGACGTCACATTTCTCCATCTTGCCATCTTGTTTTGAGTTCTTTCTCGTAGCCTCTGTGGCCCAAATCAGTGTCCTCCTTTCAGACTTCAGAGACGTGAGATGGAAGCGAGCGTCTTGGCAGGAGGTGAGAAGGCAGACGACGTGCTGTAGAGACCATTTCCTGTGGGCGCTGGGTCAGAGGAAGTCTTCTAGGCAAGGTGAGCGAAATGACTGAAGATTGTTGCCACGGCCATCTGGTAACTCCCGGGCTTTGGAGCTCGTGTCAACCTGACTGCCAACACGCCATCCAGAGTGGGCCACCAAGGACTCTGAAGACACTCAGGTTACTTTACCAATCACAGTGACGGAGACACTTATACCCTCAGCAGTAACAATGTTCACAAAATAGAGCCTCTGGAGACAATTATTTTCTACGATCTTTTGTGTGAAGACTATGACTGACACTAAATATCTTTACACACGCCTGTACGAGAATACAACAGTTTCTATGTGTGTGTGGAGCTCATGTTTTTCCTCTGGTTTTAACATCCTTCCTTTTTTTCTGTGTACTCTGTGTTTACTGTAAATCACCTAGTGATAGCCTTGATAGTTAGAATTGCTCAGTGGATTATTTTTGCTTGAATCTATAGATGCATTGTATGTTCACCAATCACCCTGAAAGCACACACAACAAAAGCATTCATCTCAAGGGTTATATACTTCGAAAGCAATATGTATATTCTGTGATTTAAATGTCTTGTATTTTCACCGTCAAGGCCAAGCATACATCCAAGAACTTGCCTGTTTCTTGGCAGAAAATGTACTACAGGCAATATCCAACGAGCACGTAGATTCTCACTATAAGGGAACCTGGCAAATTAGATGGCTAGTTACCTAAACACATAAATATGGTGAGAAATTCTGAAATGAAGCTATAAAATGAAATTTGATACAAGTAATACAGACTATTAAGAGCTGTAATATTAAGTCAAGGTTATTGGATGTCACTGGTTACGGTTCTGATAATTGATTAATTATTTGATTTACTTTTAAGTAAACATGCCAAACATTTGCTAGCTCAAACATGATGATTTGTTGCTCTGTATTTCATGGAGGTTCAATTAGAACGTTGCTGTCTTTCAACTTTAGTTTTTTTAGATTGGATGAAACAAGCATGTTGAAGACTTTAACTTAAAGTGGACCTATCATACTATATTTGAATAATATATTGTAGGGCCATGCCTATATAAAACATGTCTGCAATTTTTTTTTTCTAAATACCAAACAGATCATGCATTTTAGCCATGCCTCATTTCGCTCTATTTGCTCTTTTTTAGCCCTGTTTTTGCAAGGACTGAATCTGAGAAGTCTTCTTCGCTGCTTTTGTGGCAGACTACAGCGCCACCT